CAAGAGGTGGAGAAGAAACGCTGGCGGTAGATAGGAAACACGTTGAGAAAATATGATAATATAACTAGAAGGTCTTTGTACCAAAACCCACAGGGGCTTGGAAATAAAAGCAGACTAAAAAAATGCGAGAAGGGAGCTAGAGAATAAAGTTAAAAAGACAGGACATGGGGGTGAGCTGCATCAAATAGCAAAGTATAAGACGACTTGACGTGGGTCAGATGTGGGCCTATGCTCTATTTGGGGATAAAAGGCAGAAGAAGAACAAGAAGAGGAAAAAGGAGAAAAACAAAAAGGAGGTGAAGGAAAAGGAGGAAGAGGAAAAAGGGGGTTTTTCTTTTTAAATTACCCGACAACATATGATGGCACGGGACAGTCCAGTATTTTAAAAGGGTGGTTAGAGCGGGGTTTCCGTGTTTCTGAACTTTATCGCGTTTCTTCCAAGGCCACGGTTTTCGCGAGTTTCTTCCGGCGTCGGCGTCTTGAGTGTGTATTTCCAGCGGCGTGTATTCAATCTTCGCCATGAATTTCCTTGAATTAGCAACATCTGTGCATGACAAGAAGAGTAGCGTTGCTTTCCTGCAACATCATGTCATTTCGCTTCACCAGAACAATAGTCTCTCGTCTCTGCTGCCGCCGCACCAGTTGTCGTATTCCAACATCTCTCCAGATCTACTAATGTGTACAATTGTTTTGATTATAAGCGCTTTTAACTATCCTTAAACATCTAGAACTTGCCCTAACCTCAACCTACCTAGGTCCCACGAAAGAGTGCATCCTAGGTCCCACGACCGCATGCAGCCTAGGTCCCACGACTATATACCTTTAATTTACACAATGTCCATGTTATACTTGAAGTCCGAGAAGGCTATAAATACCAATACTACAAACCGATAAACTGAATCTAACGCTGAAAATTGTTCTAATTGCTAGGTCATGGACTCAGCCGTTTTTAGGGCCACCCTCAAAATACCCCATATAGCAAGACATCCTGCCGATTGCACATAGAGTTCACACAAAATAATTGCAAAACTGCATTCTCCTCCCCAGCGAAACTGCATCCCCCTCCCCAGCGAAACTGCATCCCCCTCCCCAGCAAAACTGCAAGTCCCTCCCCAGCAAAACTGCATCCCCCTCCCCAGCGAAACTGCATCCCCCTCCCCAGCAAAACAGCATCCCCTCCCCAGCAAAACTGCATCCCACTCCCCAGCAAAACTGCATCCCCCTCCCCAGCAAAACTGCCCCCCACCTCCCCAGCAAAACTGCATCCTCCTTCCTAACAAAACTGCCCCCCCCTCCCCAGCAAAACTGCATCCCCCTCCCCAGCGAAACTGCATCCCCCTCCCCAGCAAAACAGCATCCTCCTCCCCAGCAAAACTGCATCCCACTCCCCAGCAAAACTGCATCCCCCTCCCCAGCAAAACTGCATCCTCCTTCCTAACAAAACTGCATCCCCAGGGGGGGGGGGGGAAAAAACAACCTCTATCCTCCCGATTGCACATAGAGTGCACATTTTTTTTTAATGCACAGCAAAACAAAAACTGCACATCAAATGAAAAGCCAAATTACAAAACTATACACTTATTCTACTTCCTAAAATATTGGACTGTCCCCTGACCTGTTGATTTCCTCTGTTTGTGGTCGGCTGATGAGAAGGAACGGAAAGAGGAAATGGAGGAGGATGCGGGGAAGAAGAAGAAGAAGAAGAAGAAGAAGAAGAAGAAGAAGAAGAAGAAGAAGAAGAAGAAGAAGAAGAAGAAGAAGAAGAAGAAGAAGAAGGAAATGTGTAAACAGGAAAAGCCTCCGAAACGCTGCTCCTACTTACCCCCTTCTTCACACAAAAATGTGTGTGTTTTTGTGTCTATGTGCGTGTACGATATTTGTGTGCGTGTGTGTGTAAGACATAATAACGACAAGCATATGCAGTTTCGAGCCCATGAATCACACGGGGACGCAGGTTATCTTACTAATGGAATGAATTTTTTTAACTAAACAGAGGCTAATACGACTAGGAAGAAAAAGAATCGAAAAAGCCGAACACACAAGAGACTAGTCTAAGATGGTGAAAACTCCTTGAACTATTCAACTGGAAATGCAAGAGGAAACTGAATGAGAGCCTAGTGCGACTCTATTGACAGTTAACGGTCTGAGCTTCTTCATAGATCATTGCAAGAACCGTGCCTAAAAGAGGCCATCGAATTTTAGACCTGGGAGTCAATGATTGTTCTTGAAACTGATTTGTGGCTTGAAATATAGACTCCAAACAGAAAGTGGGAATGTCTGGTCCGCGGGCCTGTTGCGGCTCTTCAAGAATGTTGGTACCCTTGTAGTAAGCAGGGGTGTTTCCCGGTGCTCCAGCGTAGTTATTAGAGCTTTGGACTTCGGGTGACAAACCCCACGAGTGTCCGGGTCTCGGGTTCGAGCCGGGGGATGGCAGAAAAGCCGCATACTCCCCAGATTAAAGGTTTACGTGACACCGAGACTGAAGGGCTCCGATGCCCACTTCACTGAGCCAAATGAGCCATGCTCAAATGCTTCTGGTTCAACAACAGCCACAACAACAAAAAAGCAGGGAGAAGTTTTCACAATATGGCGCTAGTGCACTGATTGTATTGTCCAGTTGGAATACAGAGGACAAGTTAATGAGTGTCAATCAGACTGCCGCTTTTATTTCGCCGGATAATTTCTGCTAGCCATTTTCGACTTTTAGTCGTAATGAAAAGTTAATTTTAAAAACAAGATTTGCTTCAATGTTAATTTGAACCTTTTCCTAAAATATTTAAGATTCGTTGTGCGATAACTGCACCGATATACAAATAAGTTTGAAATTTTAAGTTTGAACAAGGGATCAACACCAGGGCACACGGGTAGTAACCCATAAGTGCTCGGTTCTTCTTCTGACTCAAGTCTGTGTCCGAAGAAGCTCAGCACAGTGCACAGGCTCTGTAACACCGGCGAGGATCCTGAAATACTTCGGGTAGATTTTTACCTCCAAATTTGCCCGGGCAGAGCCTTTAGGCTAATCTTTTCGATTTCCAACTGCCAAGGAATTTTTTACGTGCGCAAAAATACACACGGGCGTCAGATCTCACTACCAGAGAACAAGGGGAATTACTAGAAGTCCACGTGCACGTTAAAAAATCCCAGCCCTTACCGGGGATTGAATCCGGAACCTTCAGCACTCAAGGCGGAAACCATGCCTCGAGACCACGTAACCCCCGATATATAAATTTATGTGCACTGCTGCTAGATACAGCTTTAGGATCTGACATGACCTTGTGTGCAATTTAGCTTTTTGTTTGTTAGTGTTTGCTTGTTGTTTGTTTTAGTATCCAGAAGCCATGAGTTGTTAACCCTTAGGCTCGGTATTATGGATATCGCAACCTTTCGGCCTTGATTCCATTGTAAATACCGTAAATCTGGGAGAAATGTGGCTTTTCTGCCTACCCCAGGGAGTGAACCCGGACCACAAGGAGTTCGTCACCCGGTCACCGTGCAATCCGGTTTAGCCAACTACGCTAGAGAGCCGAGCGTTGGTTAGTGTAAGGGGAGACACTATGATCTAGCGTCTGACGGCTCACCCGCAGACACAAATGTCGTTTGTTCAAATCCGCATCGAGTTTATTTATTCTAAAATGTCCTCGCCTACCAGGTCTAACCAGCCTAAAACCCGTACCTGGTAAAGTCCTGGAAAGCAAAGGCGGACCGCGTTATGCTAACCACATCACCCACCGATTGGCCTATAAACTATAGGTTTAGCACTATATACACAATTTACCAAAAGACGCAGACTATAGTTTTTTTCTTCGTTTATGTAGGTTATATAAGTCTATGCAACCATTGATGTCATTTACATTGTTGAAAGCGAATACTGTCTATATTCCATAATTTGTGCTTGACAAACCTGGCCAGTAGTGCCGTTTGTTTTAAACTGACATACCACTAGAATTGACTGACATGCCACGAAGATTAACTGGCAAGCCACTTTGATTAACTGATATGCCACTAGGAGTAACTGATATACCACTAGGATGAACTGATATGTCACTAGGATTAACTGATATGCCACTAGGATTAACTGACAGGCCACTAGGATTAACTGATATGCCACTAGGAACAACTGATATGCCACTATGATTAACTGATATGCCACTAGGATTACCTGATATGCCACTAGGATTAACTGATATGCCACTAGGATTAACTGATATGCCAGCAGGAGTAACTGATATGCCACTAGGATTAACTGATATGCCACTATGATTAACTGATATGCCACTAGGATTAACTGATATGCCACTAGGATTAACTGATGTGCCACTAGGAGTAACTGATATGCCACTAATATTAACTGATGTGCCACTAGGAGTAACTGATATGCCACTAGGATTAACGAATATGCCACTAGAAGTAACTGATATGCCACTAGGATTAACGGACAGACCACTAGGATTACCTGACAGGCCACTAGGATTAACTGACAGGCCACTAGGATTACCTGACAGGCCACTAGGATTAACTGACAGGCCACTAGGATTATCTGACAGGCCACTAGGATTACCTGACAGGCCACTAGGATTAACTGACAGGCCACTAGGATTAACTGACAGGCCACTAGGATTACCTGACAGGCCACTAGGATTACCTGACAGGCCACTAGGATTAACTGACAGGCCACTAGGATTACCTGACAGGCCACTAGGATTAACTTACAGGCCACTAGGATCAACTGACAGGCCACCTGGATTACCTGACAGGCCACTAGGATTACCTGACAGGCTACTAGTATTAACTGACAGGCCACTAGGATTAACTGACAGGCCACTAGGATTATCTGACAGGCCACTAGGATTACCTGACAGGCCACTAGGATTAACTGACAGGCCACTAGGATTAACTGACAGGCCACTAGGATTAACTGACAGGCCACTAGGATTACCTGACAAACCACTAGGATTAACTGACAGGCCACTGGGATTAACTGACAGGCCACTAGGATTAACTTACAGGCCACTAGGATTAACTGACAGGCCACCTGGATTACCTGACAGGCCACTAGGATTACCTGACAGGCCACTAGGATTAACTGACTGGCCACTAGGATTACCTGACAGGCCACTAGGATTACCTGACAGGCCACTAGGATTAACTGACAGGCCACTAGGATTAACTGACAGGCCACTAGGATTAACTGACAGGCCACTAGGATTAACTGACAGACCGCTAGGATTAACTGACAGGCCACTAGGATTAACTGACAGACCACTAGGATTAACTGACAGGCAGCTAGGATTAACTGATGTATCACACAGATTAACTGACATGCCAGTAGGGTTAACTAACTTTCTCTACTCTGGCAGAATTCATCCATTCTCCGAAATGACACAGCTAACCACCCAGCCCGAACTCCAAGCAACAACGGGTATGCCTTCAGATTATCCATCAACTCTACTGGACTGCAAATCGAGGGGAGCGTCGAAGGCAGCCTTCTTTCCCCAGCCTCACCCACAACATTCTCTAAGGTAGGTGGTGTTCACGTCTTGTTTTAACAGCCAGCTAAATTTTCTGTTTGTGTCTACTCGTTTCTCTGTTTCGTGTATTAACCATTTACATGTGTTGCTCATCGTCTCCTTTACTTCCTAAAAATGTATTGACATTCTATCAACTCGCGTCAAGGTGTAATTGGTTGGTTTTTGTGGCTATCGCCTTTTAAGGAATGAGGTGGCCAAAACCAAACCTAACAGACCTACCTTTAGTCGACGTCTCTTACGACATGGTTGGTAGGGTGTAGTGCTACTATTCTTTGCTTTCCCAAGGCCACACTAATACATGTAGACGCTTATATGTATATATATACATATATATATATATATATATATATATATATATATATATATATATATATATAATATATATATATATATATATATATATATATATATATATATATATATATATATATATATATATTTATATATATATATGTATGTAGGTATAATGCCTAACTAAATATATGTATGTTGGCAGTCTTGTGTAAATTACGATATTGTTTTGGAGCGTATTAATGTAAGTGTGTGTGTTTGTGTGTATAAGTGTTTGTGTGTGCGTGTGTTTGTATAAGTGTGTGTGTTTGTATAAGTGTGTGTGTGTGTGCGTGTGTGTGTATGCTTGCTATTTTATTTAGTAAATATATACTGCAATTTCAATTCTCATATATTATTTGTTCATACTCTAGCTCTCTCTCTCTCTCTCTCTCTCTCTCTCTCTCTCTCTCTCTCTCTCTCTCTCTCTCTCTCTCCCTCTCTCTCTCTCTCTCTCTTTGACACTTCCCTTAAAAAAAGTTTTTCGCCCCATCCATCCGGCCGGGCAATCCAGGTATTCATCTCTCTGCCTTCCTCTTGCCGTCTTTACATAAGTCTTGTCAGTTGTCACCAATTTCTCGAGTGTATTCCTTCTCATAGCACGTTCAACAAACATTGACTGTCTACGTGTAATTATTCTTTTAAATTAACGACTTTCATTTGAATTGATGAGGACTGCATCGTTTGTTTTTCTATCCTTCCATGATATAATTATTGTCCCCTCGTATGCAAGCAATATTTTGTTTGAAGCCCCACCCTGGCTTCTGCCGGGGGCCCTGAATTTAGCGAGGGCATAAACATGGCCTAGCCATAGATATGGCCTAACAGCTGAAAAGGGTTTCTGGGACTTTTCTACGGATTATCCTCGTCTGCATGGTGGCACTGTGTGTCACCAGGTGTTTATCGCTTGTGTGATGTCCTGGTGGAGTATAACTACCTAACTACCTTCCATGATATTCTTTGCCTTTTTCTCAGAAATCACATCTCAGCTTCGAGTCAATGTCTCCCAGCTTGTTTGCCTAATGTCCATGTTTCACATACATACAAGAACACAGGTTCTTTATAACATCTTAACGCTCGTTTTATCACTGCAAGCGACATCTTCTTATTGGTGGGAATCGTTCGCGTCTTGCTAAAAGGGACCTTCATGGCTTAAATGGATGCCAGGTAAAATCCTGGAAAGTAAAGGTGGCTGGCATGAGGCTGACCACATCCCTCCTTCAAATGCCCGATGCGCCACTGGAGTGGAAAGGAATCTGTACTTTGTCGGACTTTACCACTTGAATCAGATTTGGAAGTCTTACTTCGACGCCTGCCGGTGTTTTACGTTGGAAAAAGGCAATTTATTCAACACCTACAATCACGCTGGCGTCTGTGGCTTAGGCGTTGGGAACTCGCTTCGTGGCTCTGTAACATCCTGTTCGATTCTAGCTGCAGGCAATTTAGCAGGGAAAATCCATAGGTGACGGGACAGTCTAATATTTCTGGGGGTGGTAGATAGGCTGCATGCATTCGTGGAACATAGTCTGCACTCTCTCATGGGACGTAGGTGGGTTGGGGTTAGAACCAGTTATAGACGTTTTAGGGTCGTTAAAAACATCAGAAAGCTGGGAAACCCGTCTTACCACCTTCTAAAATGTTGGACTGACTTGTGACGTCATCTTGGGCAAGGTAATAATAAAGAAACCAACTTGGCAGCAGACCGCCTTGCGCTAATTTCAAAATTGGTTTAGAGCGTCAACCGTTCCGTCCACAATGACAGACTACTGAATGGACAGTTGTCTAGTAATGCCACAAACACCAATGAATACACAAACAAAACAACAAATAAATAATTGCTGCAGCTCGTTCGGCAGCGTTCTGTAAAGGATGTGTAACGAATTATATAATAACGCCACAAGAAAAGACACATTTTGGTACAGGTTTCATTCCACAAAAAACATAACCTTCTATGGTCAACGACTAGAAATACTCCTTCAGACTCTTGCGTCCCGTCTGTACATGTGATTGTACATAAGTGTACTCATAGATGCATGTAAAGGTGTGTTTTTATGAAATGTGTGTGTGCATGTATATCCATATATGTATGTGTGTGTGTGTTTTCTGTTTGTGCATTTATGTCTATGTATGTGTATGTGTTTTATGTTTGTGTATGT